TATATATACACTTTGCTGGTTTTTGTGTTTCTCTAGAGAACCCAATCTAACACAGTGGGTTTGGTTTTTTTCTTTCTTTACCGGGCAGAACTATGCAAATGTCTTAAATGAGCCAGAGGTCCTCCCCAGTCCAGCTCCTTTAGATTCCACAGAAAATGAAGCAAGCATGGAGCAGAGCAAGTAAATGTCACTTCTCTCAAACTCAGGGGTCATACACTTGTTCTACAAAGGACCAGCAAGCAGATTTGGCTTTGCAAACTGCATGTGTGGTGACAACTGTCCTTGCAGCGTGGTAGCAGCCAAAGATAATACCTAACCAAATGGCACAGATAGGAGCTCTGGTAGCGTAGTGGCTAAGGCACTTGACTGCTAACCAGGAGGCTGGCGGTTCAAAACCACCAGCCGCTCCTCGGAAGGAAGATGAGGCAATCTACTTCCGTAGTGATACTGCCTGGGAAACCCAAGGAGGGGTCACTATGAGTCGGGTCTGACTCGATGGCACATAACAACAACAACAACATGTGCCAATAAAACTTTATTTATAAAAACAAGCCATAGGCTGGATTTGGCCTGCAGCCTGTAGTCTGTTGATCCCTGCTCTCATGGAATGAAAGTCACCTGTCTGGTGTTATTATTCTTCTCATCCCCATAGAGCTTGGCTGTCATACAGAACTGAGAACCACGAATAATAATACCCAAACCTGGACACCCCCACAGTCTCTTAGTGAAGGAAATGCGTAATTGAGTTCTTACTGTATATAGCAAATATATTTGTTGGTAGGGTAATACATTTCGTTTCTGAGAATGAAAATCTAAAAATCACTGGAACAGCCCATTTATAAAAATCAACCACCGACCTTTTAAAGAAGTCATTACAGTGTGTTGCCAGGGTGGGCCCATGTTGATCTGGGAATATTAGCACATCCATCAAAGGTTGGGGAAAAGTTTCAGTATTGATGTGTTTCTCCCTGCGAACCCTCAGCTTCACATTGCAGCCCTTGCCCTGAGAAAAACACATCACTTGCATCAGCCCTGGGTGCTTATTTTGCCAAGTTCTCATTTTATTACTTGAGTTTCAATTTGTGCTCAGATATCGCAGACAAAATCCAGAATGAACTTCTCCCCTGAGGTGCCACACGACAGAAGCTTCGAATCTTATTTATTCCTCTTTTTCACCTTAACCTCGCATGCCTGAATATCAAATACATGTGACTCAGACCCAAATGCAAGTCACCATCTCTGCCTGCAGCCGGTTCTTACCCATTTGAGAGTGAGTTTTCTCTTGACACTACAGGGCTGTTGACTCAACAGCAGTGGGTTTGGTTTTTAGGTTTTCTCATACCTTCCCCCAAAGAGACCACTGTGCTGGTCCCACCCTGCTTGGCTTTGTGACGCTGCGAAGTTGCTTCCATCCCTCAGCACTTTGCGTTCTTGCCTTGAAATGGAGTATTTCGCCTCATAGATTCATTGTGAGGACCACGTTGAGTTAAAAACCAGTTGCCATCAAGTCAGTTCCAGCCCCTGGTGCCCCCGTGTGTGTCAGCAGATCTGGGCTCTGTAGGGTTTTCCGTGGCCGATTTTTCAGAAGGTCACCCGGCCTTTCTTCCAAGGCGCCTCTGGGTGGACTCCAACCTCCAACCTTTTGGTGACCAGCTGAGTGTGTTAACCCCTTCTGCCACCCAGGAGCTCCCACATTGAGTTACTGCCCATAAAACAGAGTGCTGGCCACAGGGTAGGGAGTTCTTAAGCGATTACTTAATTTCCTCCCTTTCATTAAAAAACGCCAGCATGCCAAGAAAAGTTCCAGGTCTAGAGTGTCTTCCACCTCTGGAGAAATGCTTCAGACCCTTGGCTTCTTGACACCTCATTCCCACCCTTCTTCCCAAGTGTGTCTCTGATGATTTGTGACCAGAGAGACCCATGACATATTCATTCATTTATTCAGCAAATAATTGAGCCCCTTCCATTCCAGGCTCTGGGGATGGAAACTTAGCTAAACCAGAGTCTTTTCCCTCAAGAGACTTTAATTCTGCAAAAGGAGGCAGACAGGTCTGTAATGACCGTCATCGTGACATGTGCCCTGCTAGAGGAGAGAGACATGAGGGTGAAGTTTTTCAATACAGAACCCTGTCAGTGTTGACATTTGTGGCCAGATACTTCTTTGTTGGGGCAGGGGGTGGGTTGGCTAGGGGACCTGTCCCATTCATTGTAGCATCCCTCCTCTACCCATTAGATGCTAGTAGCACTTCCCCACCTCCACTGTAACAAATACGTCTTTAGACATTGTCAAATGTTTGGGGAATGGGGGAGGAGTGCCCCCACTTGAGAACTACTGTACATAGGTGAGGAGAAGGAGGAAGGTGAGCAGCAGAGAAGGTCCCCCAAACCCACTGGCGTCAAAATGTTTCTAACTCATAATGACCCTATAGGACAGAGTAGAACTGCCCCCATAGGGTTTCCAAGCTGTCATCTTTACAGAACAGACTGCCATCTCGTTCTCCCATGGAGTAGCTAGAAAGTTTGAACTGCTGACCTTTGGGTTGGCACCCGAGGGCTTTAACCACCATGCAACCAAGTCTCTTCCTTATAGGCTCTGGAAAAGCAAAGAACCTTGATAGGGATCAAGAAAAAAGCTGTGGAGGCACTTCTGATGGGGACCTGGCCTGCTCTGCTGAATGTCAAGTATGTCAGTCAAGTTAGACTAAACCAAAAAATCCCAAACCCCTTGCCGTTGAATCAATTCTGACTCCTAGCACCCCTAGTGCACAGAGTGCAACTGCCTCACAGGGTTCCCAAGGATGTCAGTCTTCATGGATCAAAACTCAAACGAAACCCATTGCCATGAAGTTGATACTGACTCATTAGTGACCCTATAGGACAGAGTAGAACTGCTCCATAGGGTTCCCAAGGCTGTAATCTTTACAGAACCAGATTGCTACATCCCTCTCCCATGGAACAGCTGGTGGGTTCGGACAGCCGACCTTTCAGTGAGCAGTGAACCACTTTAAACCATTGTACCACCAGGGCTCCTTCAGGGAAAGTCCAAAACTCAAAACGAAACTCAGTGCCATTGAGCTAATTCTGACTCATAGCGGCCCCCCTTGGGTTTCCAAGGCTGTACATCTTTACAGAAGCAGACTGCCTCATCTTTCTTAGGCAGAGAGGCTGGTGGGTTCGAACCACCCACCTTTTTACTTGTTGTTGTTGTTGTTATGTGCTGTCGAGTCAAACCCGACTCATAGCGACCCCTCCTTGGGTTTCCGAGGCAGTATCACTACAGAAGT